ATAAAATAAAAATGTAAAAACTGCGTCACGCCCGACTTGTCACGGAGCTCTGTACGTAGTGATTGGACTGGCTCGTGGGAACGGGCGTGTCTGCTGGGCGCGTGCCATGCCGGAGCACCCCTGCCTGCAACTGGAAATCGTGTTGCACACTGTTACGACTCTTTGTGACATTTTTCAGTGCGTTGGATTATAACTAGAAATTTACCTGAAACTTCCAGAAATAAAGGTACATAAGTAATAGAACCTTTAGCGATAGTCGTGCAACGAGGCAAGTCATACCGAATCATCCACACACATGCGCAAGCGTTTAGTGGCTCGACCGTTTGGTCCGCTTATTTAAAAATGTATATATTTATTTTATATTTATATCGCATCTGTCACTGACAAAAGATTGAAAGGAACCCCAAAAGTTTTATTTACAATTATGTTGGATTTGATCATGTGTTATCAATGAAATAATTAAAGAACGAGTAGTGACCGTCAACCCTTTCTACAGCAGTCAATCACTTACGAGTTGATTTTAAATAATCCACAGCTAAACACAACGATAAGTAAAATTACACGACCTTTATCTGCATCAGAGGCTACTTGTAATGATTTCAGTCGTGAATTTGATGCCGTGTGGGTCGGTCTCCTCTCGGGGCGCGCCAGGCGGCCCGCTCAAAGAAGAGAGAGAATGCACTATCGGTCCGTGGATCGAGTGGGGCAGGAAGGAGCGGGCTACTTGCAGTGGTGGGTGACCGGCTGGCCGGGCCACTGCAGGGTGGCGGGGCGGTGGCGACACCCCCTCCCCCCTTCCCCTCTCTCCCTCTCCACCCGCCCGCCGAAGATGTGTGAGATAAAGCACAACATTCAAACCGTTTAGGCACGGAATGCCCCGCAAAATGACAAGATACAAATCTCTGGGATCGGATTTCGAGAGGGAGGAAAGAAAGAAGCAGCGGGATGAGTGAGGTGAATGAAAGCCAAATGGATACAAATGGTATAGACTACTCTTTGCATTCATTCTCATTCCTTTTTATCATCGCTGCTGCATTTCCTCCGCGCGCGCTCGCCTGCGTGTGTGTGTGTGTCCGGGTGGCTGTATTCCATGCCTGTTTTGTCGCAGAGCTCAGCCGCTGTTCCACTTGATTTGGGACATTCTGTGATGCGCTGCCCACCCTTTGTGTTGTTGTATCGTTGCTCAGTTGCCCATTTTACTGCCCCTTTTTTAAGTTTCCTCTCGGAGACGTGTTTCCTTACTGAACGCTGCAGGACGCATGGGTTTTGGGGTTGGTGTCGGGCTGCTGCTGAATCGTGCAGAATTCCATATTGTGATAAGCTGTTTCACGGAATAAAGGGATGAGCGTCTGGCAAATGTGAGACCCGTGCTGAATGGTA